AATAGTCTCCAGTTAGTTATGTATTTCATGTAGTCACCAATAGAGTCTCCAATAGTCTCCAGTTAGTTATGTATTTCATGTAGTCATCAGAGGCTACAAAAACATACTACAAAACCATAATAAATACTACAGTGTACAGATAGATTTTAACGGGACGGCAAATTTCACCTTCGATCATGGAATCCGATCCGGTTACAAGTACAGTGAAACCTCTAAATACCGGACATTTCTCTCCATATAATCCGTTAGATGGGGGTTTCACATTTAACGGACCCTCGATATAACGGACTTTCATCTTCATATAGTTCGTTAAATAGAGGTTTTTACATTTAACGGACCCTCGATATAACGGACTTTCCTCTCCATATACTGTAGTTCGTTAAATAGAGGTTTTTACATGTAACGGACCCTCGATATAACGGACTTTCATTTTCATACAGTTCGTTAAATAGAGGTTTTTACATTTAACGGACCCTCGATATAACGGACTTTCCTCTCCATATAGTCCGTTAAATAGAGGTTTTTACATGTAACGGACCCTCGATATAACGTATTTTCCTCTCCAAATAGTCCGTTAAATAGAGGTTTCACTGTAATCACCGTTATGACGCGGAGACATAACAACAAGTCATCAATTTTGAAATATTATGTCAGTTCTATTACAGTTTTTTTATATTAAAGTGGCCGGTAAATACGTTAACATTCAGGATACAGTACTCTGAGTGGCCGGTAAATACGTTAACATTCAGGATACAGTACTCTGAGTGGCCGGTAAATACGTTAACATTCAGGATACAGTACTCTGATTACAGCTCGATACAGCAAAAATAACTCAAAAATACGTTTCAGTTAACTACAGCCTCGACGATTATTTTCTCTGTAAAAAAAATCAACATGTCCCTCTAGCGGCCAAAGTCTCAACTACGAGGTAAACAAATGCCAGGATGTAAATATTATGGGGCGGCTGGATAAAGCAAGTCAGCCTAGCACAAGGGCGCCTCTGATAGCCCAGCTGACCGTGGCTGACACATAGTCCCACCCACACACTTATTTATTTTGTAACCCTTAAGGCATTAACCTCTTGAATACGATGACTTAAGCACTTAAAACACGATGACTTAACAATTTGAATGATGACTTAACACACTGAATGATAGAGTAACCCCTTAAACATGATAACTTAACCCTTGAATGATAGTTACCCCTTAAACACGATGACTTAACCCTTTAAACATGGTGACTTAACCCTTTAAACATGATGACTTAACCCCCCTCCCCCAAAGGCAACATTTCTTCCATACCTCATTTCTTTTATAACAAGGAGGTGCACGAGTAATTAGCTGTAACAGATGAGAGAAAAATCAAGCATCTTCTCTCACGTGAGGGAAGGCATGTAGGCACAGTTTGTTTACTAGTGGGTGTCAACACAACCCTCTGGTTCATAAACACGCTGCCTTCACCCGTCACTGTCAACACGCTGATGAGAAGAAGCAACTGTGGGTGTCCTAACCTAGCCTAACATAACCTGACCTGTCCTAACCTGACCTAACCTATCCTAACCTAACTACGAGTAATCTAGCCTGACCTAGCCTAAACTAACCAAGCCTAGCCTGACCTGACCTAACCTTCCCACCTCTCTCTCTCTCTCTCTCTCTCTCTCTCTCACTCCCAGACACCCATGAGCAAGTGTCTTCATATCTACCTCATGATTGGCTGCCTGGAGGAGTGTGGGCGTGGCCTTTTTCACTTCCTAGGCACAGTCGTTACCCTCACGCTCGGCAAACACCGTATACACATGCAAATTACTATCCATACATCACATTTACGACTGCAATAACGGGCCGATTCATCCATCAAACTTTACATTCCGGATTGCAACATCATCCATCTGGTACTGCATCTTTATGGTAATGAGGGAAGGGGGAATATAACGGGGGCATGGAACGTGTGTGGAGATATGTTTTCCACGTGATAACCCCAACTTAACCTAACCTAACCTAACCCCAGCTTAACCTAACCTAACCTAACCCCAACTTAACCTAACCTAACCTAACCTAACCCCAACTTAACCTAAGCTAAGCTAACCTAACACAACTTACTATAATTGTTACTACTAGTACTACTACTTTTTTAATGGCCTCCAACCTCGATTTATAGCAATACAATACTACTACTACTACTACTACTACTAGCATTACTCCTTCTACCACCACTACTACCACTACTACTACCATTACTACTACTACTACACCCAGTGACACTAACTTACAGCCATATATTTTACGTCGAGGAAACAGGTTTTGTATGGACCCGGACAGCTGGTGACGCCCACGGGAGTTACGCATCAACTTATATTCACTACATCTTGCCTACGACTTCCTCAAGCTCCCTACTGTCCCTCCCCTATACCTCCTCCCCAAGTTTTTATCCCTCCCCACACCCCTATCACTACGCCACCTCCCCAAATATCCACATCTCCCCCACACCTCCCTCCTCCACATATCCTCCCCAAGTTTTTACATCTCCCTATTCTCTCTACCTCCCCTCCCCTCCTTCTTCCTCCCCACTCCCCCATCATCAGTATTTAAACGACCCAACACCCGTCCTGGAGTCATGAAAGGCTTCCTGAGTGCTGACTTCTACATCATTAAGTCTCAATAACCTCGCCCCTCTAATGATACTCGCCCCTCCAATGATACTCGCCCTCTCGCCCCTCTAATGATACTCGCCCTCTAATGATACTCGCCCCTCTAATGATACTCGCCCTTCAATGATACTCGCCCCTCTAATGATACTCGCCCTCAATGATACTCGCCTCTAATGATACTCGCCCTCCAATGATACTCGCCCCTCTAATGATACTCGCCCTCCAATGCCCTCTAATGATACTCGCCCCTCAATGATACTCGCCCTCTAATGATACTCGCCCAATGATACTCGCCCCTCTATTGATACTCGCCTCAATGATACTCAATGATACTCGCCCCTCAATGATACTCGCCCCTCCAATGATACTCGCCCTCATACTCGCCCTCTGATACTCGCCCTCTAATGATAATGATACTCGATACTCGCCCCTCTAATGATACTCGCCCTCCTAAATGATACTCGCCCCTCAATGATACTCGCCCTCTAATGATACTCGCCCCTCTAATGATACTCGCCCTCTAATGATACTCGCCCTCCAATGATACTCGCCCCTCTAATGATACTCGCCCCTCTAATGATACTCGCCCTCAATGATACTCGCCCCTCCAATGATACTCGCCCTCCAACAACAGTACATCAATAACTCGTATAATGTCTGGTTCCCTGATCTTAGTGACTCGCATCATAGCTCGATTGCTGGGGGAGGGGAGGATGGGGAGGAGAAGGAAGGGATAAGGAAAGGGGAAGAGTGGAAGATGAGAAGGAGGAAAGGGAAAAAGGGTGGGAGAGAGAGAGAGAGAGAGAGAGAGAGAGAGAGAGGAGAGAGAGAGAGAGAGAGAGAGAGAGAGAGAGAGAGAGAGAGAGAGAGAGAGAGAGATATTAAACCATCTTTATACAAGTAAATCCTCACAACACAAGAGAGGAAGGGAGAAAGGAGAAGAGAAAGGGAAGGGGAAGGGGGACCGTCTGCCCCACCAATCAGATCGCACCATTAGGCCACCAAAGACCACTGAATTGTGTTGACTTCACGGGGAGAATAATTATACTGACTGCTGTGTTAGTCTTCATTATGGCGTCTGTTTATCATAATTAAACCCGGATATATGAGCCACTGATCACGAGAGGCGCGCCATAACCTAATCTAACCTGACCTGACGTGACCTAACCTGACCTGACGTGACCTATGACCTGAGGCACCTGCTGACGTGACCTAACCTGACCTGACCTGACCTGACCTGACCTAACCTAACAACCAAACCTAATTTAATCGTGTTTTACTTGAAGAGAGAGACCCCCCTTGGTCAGCATAACACCTCCTGGCGCCCACAGTCACAACAAGGTTCCAACTCGGGCGGCCAACTTCGGACTAATGGCGCGCCTTCCGATACTCATATCCGGCCAAGCGCCATTACTCGGCCAGACGTAACCCCACACCACCAGCACGAGATGGATGAGTCAAGTGGGTGAGTGAGGGTGGGTGGGTCCTGGGTGAAAGGATGAGTCTGCCGGATGAGTGGGTTGGAGGAGGGTGGTGGTGGTAGTAGTAGTAGTGTGGTGGTGGTGGTGGTGGTGGTGGTAGTGGTGGTGTGGTGGTGTGGTAGTGGTGGTGGTAGTAGTAGTGGTGAGGTGGTGTGGGAGTGAGGTGGTGGTGGTGTGGTAGTAGTGGTGGTGTGGGTGGTGGTGTAGTGGTGGTGGTGGTGGTGGTGGTAGTAGTGAGTGGTGGGAGGTGGTGGTGGGTGGGGTGGTGGTGAGTGTGTGGTGGTGGTGAGGTGATGTGGTAGTGGTGGTGGTGGTGGTGATAGGCGTCTAAGAGCTTCCTTAACAAACAAGACCCTCCTCTCCCCTCACCCTTCACCCCACCTCCCCCACCCTTCACCTCACCTCCCCCCACACCCCCCCACAACTGCAGCTAACCAATACTAACACATCAATCTAAATTTCTGATGACCCGCCAGACTAGTTCATTGAGATTCCTGCCTAACCCAGAACACAACAACAGGGGTGGTGTGGTGAGTGGTGGTAGTGGTGGTGATAGTGGTGGTGGTGATAGTGGTGGTAGATGAGTGGTGATGGTGGTGGTGTTCATTCTCGGATAAGAAGGGCATTAGTGGATAACTAGTTTTATGAACATCTTAACTACTTGGTGAGATAAAAGGTTTATAGTGTCGTTCTTGCACTCAACATCCCGTCATCATAGAGTATTTACATTTAGTTTAGTTTTTTAATTGTATTTTTTTAAGGATATTAATACACCAATATACACAAACATACACCAGTACACACACACACACACACACACACACACACACACACACACACACACACACACACACACCTCCTTAATGACTGACCTGAGAGAAATTGAGGCCATTGAGAGGCACGCACTGTTCCTCCACCCTCTCCACGGCGCCTGTACGCTTGGTGAGCCTCTCGGCCTCCTGTGCGAGGTAGAGGTCGAGTACTGGCACCCCGCGGCTCCTGATGTCACTCTCCGTCAGCGAGTTGACCATCAGCATCACCCACACCGGTCGCTTCCTCTCCCAGTTACCTGTGAAGGAAGTCATTTGTGGTTATTAGGTGGTGGCACTCGTGTATATGTATGTGCTTTTTGTTGGCACTCTGTGTGCTGTGTGTATATGGTGGCACTCGTGTGTATATGGTGGCACCCCTGTGTGTATATGGTGGCACTCTGTGTGTATATGGTAAGCAATTTCTGTATATGGTGGCACCTTGTATATGGTGGCAGCACCTGTGTGTATATGGTGGCACCTTGTGTGTATATGGTGGCACTCTGTGTGTATATGGTGGCACTCTTGTGCATATGGTGTGTTAATTTTGTGTATATGGTACCTGTAGTATATATGGTGGCACTGTGTGTATATGGTGGCACTGTGTGTATATGGTGGCACTCTGTGTATGTAGGCACTCTTTTGTGTATATGTGGCACTCTGTGTGTATACAGGCACTTGTGTATATGGTGTGGCACTTGTGTATATGGTGGCACTTGTGTATATATGGTGGGCACTTTGTGTGTATATGGTAAGAATTTTGTGTATATGTAGGCACTCTGTGTGTGTGTATGGTGGCACTCTTGTGGTATATGGTAAGCACTTTTGCATATGGTATAATTTGTGTATAAGTGGTGGCACTTGTGTATATATGGTGGCACTTGTGTATATGGTGGCACCTGTGTATATGGTGGCACCTCAGTATATGGTGCACTTTATGTATATGGTAAGCACCTTGTATATGGTGGCACCTTGTGTATATGGTGGCACTTTGTGTATATGGTGGCACTTCAGGCGGTGGCACTGTGTATATGGTGGCACTCTTTTGTGTATATGGTGGCACTCGTGTGTATATGGTGCAGCACTCTGTGTATATGGTGGCACTCTGTGTATGGTGGCACTGTGTGTGTATATGGTGGTGGCACCTTGTGTGTATATGGCAGGCACTCTGTGTGTGTATATGGTGGCACTCTGTGTGTATATGTGGCACCTGTTTGTATATGGTAACAAAAAGGCGTAGGCACTTTGTGTATATGGTGGCAATTTTGTGTATATGTAGGCACTTGTGTATATGGTGGCACTCTGTTTGTATATGGTGGCACCTGTGTATATGGTGGCACTTCAGGTATATGGTGGCACTCTGTGTGTATATGGTGGCACTCTGTGTGTATATGGTAATTCTGTATATGGTGGCACCCCTGTGTATATGGTGGCACTCTTGGTGCAGGCGAGGCACTCTGTATATGGTGGCACTTTGTATATGCAGGCACTCGTGTGTATATGGTGGCACTCTGTTTGTATATGTGGCACTCTGTGTAGTATATGGCAGGCACTTGTGTATAGTGGTGTACCTTTGTGTATATGGTGGCACCTGTGTGTGTATATGGTGGCACTCTGTGTGCATATGGTGGCACCTGTTTGTATATGGTACACTGTGTGTATATGGTGCACTCTTGTGTATATGGTGGCACCTGTGTGTATATGTAGGCACCTGTGTGTGTATATGGTGGCACTGTGTATACAGGCACCCCTTGTGTATATGGTGGCACCTTTGTGGTATATGGTGGCACTCAGTGTATATGGTGGCACCTTGTGCATATGGTGGCACTTGTGTATATGGTGGCACCTGTGTATATGGTGACACCTTGTGTATATGGAAAACGTGTTATGTGGCACTTGTGTGTATATGTAGGCACTTGTGTATATGTAGGCACTTTTGGTGTATATGGTATAATTTTGTGTATATGGTGGGTAATTCTGTGTGTATATGGTGGCACTCTGTGTGTGTATATGGTGGGCACTGTGTGTGTGTGGTGGCACCTTGTATATGGTGGCACCTGTGTGTATATATGGTGGCACCTGTGTATATGGTGCACTGTGTGTATATGCAGGCACTCTTGTATATGTGGTGCACTCTGTGTGTATATGGTGGCACCTGTAAAAGGCAGGCACTGTGTGTATATGGTAGCACTTGTGTATATGGTGGCACTCTTGTATATGTAGGCACCTCTGTGTATATGGTGGCACTCTTTGTGTATATGGTGGCACCTGTGCATATGGTGGCACTCTTGTGTATATGGTGGCACTCAGGCATATGGTGGCACCTGCAGAGAGTGTAGGCACTCTGTGTGTATATGGTACACCTGTGTGGGTATATACAGGCACCTGTGTGTGTATATGGTGGCACTCTGTGTATATGGTGCACCTGTGTGTATATGGTGCACTGCAGTATATGGTAAGCACCTTTTGTGTATATGGTGGCACTCTTGTGTGCATACAGGCACCTCGTGTACACATGGTGGCACCTCGTGCATATGGTGGCACCTTGCATATGGCGGCACCTCTGTGTGTATATGGTGGGAAGCACTGTGTGTATATGTAGGCACTGGTGTATATGGTGGCACTCTGTGTATATGGTACCTTGTGTATATGGTGCACTCTGTGTGTATATGGTGGCACCTGTGTGTATATGGTGGGCACTGTGTGTATATGTAGGCACTCTTGTGTATATGGTGGCACCTGTGTGTATATGGTGGCACTGTGTGTATGGTAAGCACTCTTGTGTATATGGTACCCTGTGTATATGGTAAGCACTTGTGTATATGGTGACACTTCAGGTATATGGTACTGTGTGTATATGGTGGCACTGTGGTGTATATGGTATACCCCTCAGTATATGGTACTCTGTGTATATGGTAGCACCTCTTGTGTATATAAGTGTAGGCACCTGTGTGTATATGGTGGCACACTTTGTGTATACAGGCACTCTTGTGTATATGGTAAGCACTCTTGTGTATATGGTGGCACTCTGTGTATATATGCAGGCACCTTGTGTATATGTAGGCACTCTGTGTGTATATGGTGGCACTCTGTGTATATGTAGGCACTCTTGTGTATATGGTGTGGCACTTCAGTATATGGTGGCACTCTTGTGTATATGGTGGCACTCTGTGTGTATATGGTGGCACCTTGTGTATATGGAAATTCTCTGTGTGTATATGCAGGCACTCTCTGTGTATATGGTGGCACTCTGTGCAGAGCATGGTGGCACTGTGTGTATATGGTGGCACCTGTGTGTATATGGTGGTACCTGTGTGTATATGGTGGCACTTTGTGTATATGGTGGCACCTCGGTGTAGAGCAGGCACCTGCATATGGTGGGCACCTGTTTGTATATGGTGGCACTCGTGTGTATATGGTAGCACTCAGTATATGGTGGCACTTTTGTGTATATGGTGGCACTCTTGTGCATATGGTGGCACTCTTGTGTATGAGGTACCTGTGTGTATATGGTGGCACTTTGTGTATATGGTGGCACTCTTGTGTATATGTGGTGGCACCTGTGTGTATATGGTGACACTCTGTGGGAGCATGGTGGCACCTGTGTACATGGTGCACCTGTGTGTATATGGTGGCACCTGTGTGTATATGGTGGGGCACTTTGTGTATATGGTGGCACCCCTCAGTATATGTAGGCACCTGTGTATATGGTGGCACCTCTGTGTGTATATGGTGGCACTGTGTATATGGTGTACTGTGTGAGTATGGTGGCACTGTGTGTATATATGGTGGCACCTGTGTATATGGTACCTGTGTGTGTATATGGTGGCACTTTGTGGTATATGGTGTGGCACCTGTGGTGTATATGGTGTTAAATTGCAGGTATATGGTGGCACTCGTGGTGTATATGGTGGCACCTTGTGTATACAGGCACCTCTGTGTATATGGTAGCACTCTCTTGTGCATATGGCAGGCACCTGTGTATATGGTGGCACCTGTGTGTATATGGTGGCACTCTTTGTGTAGTATGGTGGCACTTTGTGTATATGCAGGCACTGTGTGTATATGGTGGCACTGTGTGTGTATATGGTGGCACTCTGTGTGTATATGGTGGCACTCTGCATATGGTGGCATTCTCAGTGTATATGGTGGCACTGTGTGTATATGGTGGCATCTGTGTATAGGTACTGTGTGTATATGGTGGCACTTTGTGTATATGGTGGCACTCAGTGTATATGGTGGCACTTCTGTGTGGGAGGGCGGTAAGGCACCTGTGTGTATACAGGCACCTGTGTGTATATGGTGGCACCTGTATATGGTGGCACCTGTGTATATGGTGGCACTCTGTGTATGGGCGGTGGCACCTGTATATGGTGGCACTCTTGTGTATATGGTGGCACTCTGTGTGTATATGGTGGGCACCTGTGTGTATATATGGTGGCACCTCGGGTGAGTGATGGTGGCACCTGTGGTGTATATGGTGGCACTCCGTGGTGTATATGGTGGCACCTGTGTGTATATGGTGGCACCTGTGTGTATGGTGGCACTTTTGTGTATATGGTGGCACTGTGTGTATATGTAGGCACCTGTGTGTATATGGTGGCACCTGTGTGTATATGGTGGCACTCTGTGTGTATATGTAGGCACTCTGTGTGTATATGGTGGCACTGTGTGTATATGGTGGCACTTGTGTATATGGTACCTGTGTATATGGTGGCACTTTGTGTATATGGTGGCACCTGTGTGTATATGGGTACCTTGTGTATATATGGTGGCACTGTGTGTATATGGTGGCACTCTGTGTGTATATGGTGGCACTCTGTGTGGTATATGGTGGCACTCTGTGTAGTATATGGTGGGCACTCGTGTATATGGTGGCACTGTGTATATGGTGGCACTTTGTGTATATGGTAAGGCACCTGCATATGGTGGCACTCTTGTATATGGTGGCACTGGTATATGGCACCTGCAGGTGTATATGGTGGCACCTGCATATGTAGGCACTCTGTGTGTATATGGTGGCACTTTGTATATGGTACACCTGTGTGTATATGGTGGCACTCTGTGTGTATATGGTGGCACCCTGTGTGTATATGGTGGCACTGTGTATATGGTGGCACTGTGTGTATATGGTGGCACCTCTGTGTGTATACAGGCACTTCTGTGTATATGGTGGCACTCTGTGTGTATATGGTGGCACTCTTGTGTATATGGTGGCACTGTGGTGTATATGGTGGCACTCTTGCAGGTATATGGTGGC